TGAAACGCGTCGATTTTTACAAAGCTCATCGGTCTGAAAAGCGAGGTGTGCTCTGATTGGTCAGCTATCCAGTGTGTTGTGATTGGCCGAATACCTCAAGCGTGTGACGGAAATGTTACTCCCCTTACCATACTGTGATGCCGTGTCCAGGAGTGACGAGACAAAACCTATAAAACCCATTATAAACGAAGCATTTGTTGCATCCAATGGGGACATAATTACGGATTATAATGACTTATACTGTCTTTTTACGCGTTGCATCGCACCACGTAAACATAAAACCATGTCTGCATTTGTGAACGGAAAAATGACAAACAACAAGCGCTACTCTACACAGCTCAAAACTCACGGGATTGTTTAAACGAGCCGTTTTATGAGGGCGTGGACTAGTCTTAACTTTTATAAAGAATATCTCTTTGGATTTGAGACTTTAGTCTTTGCAACTTTAGGGATCTTATCTATTCACGAACAGCTTGTAACACTCCAAAGAGAAAGGAAAACTTGAAATCGCATCATATGACCCCTTTAACCTCACACTCGATCCTGCACTCCAACTGCTATCTATAGCATATAGGCTAATTCATAGACTTTACTCTAATTCCTTAAAAGGGACACACACATGTAGAGCTAGAATCTCTATTTACATAATGAAACATTAACAAAGTTTTTCCTAACGTTTGATGATTTCATAGTCATTAGTAACACATTCAATTCATATTTTCAGTATGACTGCAAACATATACATGTATGAAAAAGTGCTCTAAGCTTTAAGCAATAGCGTAAAATTGCATGCAGTGCCTAGAGATTCAAAACATTGTCAAGTCAAATATAGTGTCATGAATATGGATGTAAACACAAATTCATATAATCAGTATTAATAAATATTATCAGTAAAGAGGACAAATTCAATACTTCAGAGCTTCAAGTCCCTCCTCAAAACTAAAAACCAAACTAGGTGCAAATATAATGCTAAATTAGTTTATTATCAATGAAAAACATGGCAAATCATGATGAAATAAGCAGTTGTTGATAAAACACTCACCTTTTACAATTAACTGAATGAGCTTTGGGCGTAGATTACGTTCACTTTGTATCGAGCAGGTGTACAAGCCCTCGTCCGTTACATCCACTTTCTGTATCTGTAAGCTGTATTCATGTTTATCCCCCACATTTGATACGATGGACACACGAGGATCCCCTGACCACTTGTCATTCCCTGCGTAAATGATACTGGAACGATTCAACCATGCTCCTTTTGAGATCCCATCCAACAGGTAGCATCTGAAACCAGAAAGAAAGCAGATAATTAAAGACCCCTGTGGTGAAAATCAAGCTTTTAACATTGTTTACATGTCTATCTGCTGTTTTTAAAATGCTTCGAGACAAACTATGTCCAAATTCATCAGTCAACATCATTGCTGAGCATTTTTTCGCTAAAACTCCAGTGTACCAAAGACAGTCTCAAAAATGTGGTTTGAATCATACCATCATAAACATGCAACCAATCCTGTCAATTTGCAGGGTGGGGCTTTTCATATCATTAGCTGTTTGAGATGGTTTTTGTACCATTAGCAACACATTATTAGCTGACATTGTAGAGAGCAATACATAAAATACATTTCCATTCTGATACATCGACTTGCAGATGACACTGTATAACTTGCACTTCCTCATTTTCAGAATCAGTTTCAGCGGAGTCATTTGCATATTCATGATTCCACGTATACTAAATGAGGTGAGGATGTAGAGTTATATTCAAGCCATTTTGAGGCATGAAAAAATGATGTTCATGGGTAAAATGATTAAATGTCATTTTGATTATCAAAGATGAGTTTAAGGGATAAAACTTGTGACTGTGGGGGGACTGAGGACAAGGACAAGGACAACGGATGTTATTATTATGCATGTAATTTCAGATATACACAGATCAAGTACATAAATACCAAAAATGTGATTTACAGTTTGCAAAAAATTGTTAAGAAACAACCCGTTTTTCCACGTATAACACTCCATACTGACTAGTGGAAGCAAATAGAAACAAACAAACAAACCAAAAATAGTTCAGATCTACTTTTTATGTTAGATATTGAGGAAAGTTAAACTAAAATGTTTAATAAACACCACTTGCAAACCATACAAACTACATCAGTCCCTGGTGTGCACAAAAGATACCATCAAAAAGCAACAACAACAAAATAACTATTTAATATTTAAAGCAGTGGTTCCCAGCTGGTGGGTCGTGACCCAAATATGGGCAGTAGGTCTGTTCTAAAACAGCACAGAAAAAAAACTATGTTAAATGCAAATATTAAAAAGCAGCTGTATAATCATGCATTCAGGACAGCAAATTAAACAGGCCTATCAACATTTCAAGAAAACGCTTAAGGAGAAAGGAGAAAATGCTTTCCTTAATCTTTTGTTGTTGATGTCAAAAGCTATGCGGCCCAATTAAACTCCATAGTATTTTGGTGTAAATCCCTCCATCACTTTGCAGAAGCCAAATTATGCTGATGCCATCATGGACAGCTTGCATGAAAAGGCCTCTTCCTTAAAAACCATGTTTTTGATTTTGTTTCAAGGTCATTTCATTTTGTTTTTCATTTTTGGATTCCTGTCTTCTGTATTCATTTAAACATGACGTGTTCAAATTGACAGTTCTGACCTCTAAACAAAAGACTTCAAAACAGCAAACAAACAAAAAACGATGGCTTAGAACTTCAATCTGGTACCACATCTAAGCTATTTGTTGTTTGTCAGCAGCGGTGTGAGTGTCTATGCTGTGAGTTATTTACACCGGATACTCTTGAGGTTAAAGGTGAAATGGGAGTCAACATATCCGTCAGTACATTGCAGGTCTCAACTCACTGTCTCAAAGTTGACTGGATCTTTTGGAAATGTGCTGGATATGTTCTCATGCCACACACACACACACACACACACACAAAAGCTGATGCTATGAAACAGGATTTAAATTTGTTTCACTAGGGCTTGTTAAAAAGTATACACAGAATGATGAGACTTGAAGATTTGAAACGATACAGTTCAGTTATCATTATGAAGAGAAAAGCCCACTTGAGAATGTGATTTAGAGCGGATCTTATTAAAAATTTATTGATGCTTCTAGAATGCAACCTCTTAAATTAAAAAAATTTCATAATGTCAAATTGCATGTTGTGTACAATATTGTAAATCCAATAAAAGCAACTATTAAAACATTCATTATTGTTATTATTAGTATACCATTTGTATCATCTTCAATCTGAAATGCATGACATCTGAAATATTAGTGATATGTCATAATGTGTTTATTTTATGCATGCCACATCCCTGAATTTCAATGACAGATAATAGAGTATAACTTATGTAGACCTACATTAATACGCATACCTAATTAACGGCAATAGAGATTATATATTCTTCACATTAACATTAATGGCACAAGAGATATGAGACGGTGCAACAGTTTTTACACTTAAATAAATAATTATCTAAATAAATAAATACTTGTGCTAAATAAGCACACATATATAACCATGACTTCAAATTAAGTGTTCAACCAAACATGCACAACTACAACTGCAGAACGTGGGAGCACATTCTAAGGATCTTTCAAATGTTAATGCTCAACTCTGTCTTACAAAACCCAAAGTTATTCTTTTGAAATGTTTAATGCTTATAAACCTCTCATGTAATTTCCATATTCCTTGGGCAAAATAGGAGTTGAGGCAAAAGTTGTAGTTTGGTTTGGTCCCCAAACTAAAGTGTGACCCTTTTTTTCTATGGAACATAAAAGAAGACATTTGGAGATTTTTTTTTTTTTTGTGTGTGTGCATGCAATGGAAGTCAATGGTAACCAAAACTGTTTGACATAGGTTTGGAATGACTTGAGGGTGAGTAAATGATGACAATTTTCCTTTTTGAACTTGACAATCTCTTTAAGAGCGTGATTTGCAATGTTATCACAAAATCAACACAATATTTACAATCTAATTAATGTAATAAAAAAAATCAGACATTTGTGCAAAGAAATGGTTGATTATAAATAGAACAAATATTTTACAAAGTGCTACTAGCACTACACAGTTAAATTATATTAACATTTAAAGTAAAAAACTCAATAGACCACTAATAAATTATGTAATACAAACTGATCAATTCTAAATTATGTGCTACAAGCTAAACTCTTTTGATTTTCCTGTAAAAGCTCCTCAGGCAGACTGCTCTACATCACTGACAAATGAGGTTTCATCACCATTTCTAACCCTGAAACAGCAGGATGGCTGGTGTCAAAGCACCACATAGATCTACTCGGACATACCTCACGATAACTCCCCACAAAGGCATAAGTGCTTCCTACTGAGGTGTAGGCTACTGTGTAAGAAAGAGTATGGACCTCCATGTGTGCTATATTTCCTTTGTACCACCTGGAAGGAACAGGTGGAAAGGTTCAAAGCTGATTTTATGTGCCTACTAGCTAGTCTTTGAACCCTTGGACTGTAGGACTTAAAATGTCTCCACGATCTGCTTTTGAAGAAATATCGTAGTATCGTGCTACAGCGCATATTCTATCAGTTGCAGTTCTGGCACCGCCGTATCAATATACTGTACAATGCCACATACATTCACATCAGTGTTAACTCAGCGGTAGAGTTACACTCAAAGTAAGTAAGTACAGCACTTATTCGCAATCACAAAAGTACATTATTTGCTTTAAAGCCTTACTGGTTAAATATTTCATTCACGTGCTGTTCTGGCGTGCACTTTTTCTGAGCGCGTACACCCGAAGCACGCGCGCTAAAGAAGCCTGTCAAACAGCGCCTGATTACTGAACTAAGTTATCTTTTGCCCTAATATTGTCAAAACACACAAGGTTTACATATAGACTCAGTTGGTTATGTCTAAAATGAAAGTAAATAGTTGAGAGAAAAACGGATGCTGCCTGTATATTAGATGCGTGCAGGTCTTAAAGCGACAGTACTAAACATGCTGCCGATTGTCATTAAAGGGATAGTTCACCCTAAAATTTAATTTCTGTCATTATTTACTCACTCGGATATTGTGCCAAACCTGTATTAATTTCTTTCTTGTGCTGAACACAAAAGAAGATATTTTGAAGAATTTGGGTAACCAAACAGTTGCTGGTCCACATTGAATTTGATAGTTAGGAAAAAAATACTATGGAAGTCACTGGGGACCAGCAACTGTTTGGTTTTTCACATTCTTCAAAATAACTTTTATGTTCAGCAGAAGAAAGAAACTCATTCAGGTTTAAAACAACTTTGGAGTGAGTAAATGATGGTATCAACAAAAAAAAAACACTATGACATAATTTTTTTTTTTTGGGTGAACTATTCCTTTAATGTTAATAAAACAACAAAACACAAAGAGAAAAATCACTCACTACTCTTAACGGAAAAACTTTAATACAGTTGCTTTAAGAGGAATCAATCTATATAGTGTTTTATTTTTATATTTGTTCATTCAATGTCTTGAATGCTCCTGATAAATACACCTACTGTACCTGAAAATAAAGCACTGTTAGTTTTATTTGTATATTATGTGTATTTGCAATGTGTATCTTTGTTCTAATTTTTTAATAAATAAGATAAAATAATGACAAAGTTTTTTTTATCTTCGCCCACTTTGGCCTAACTATCCGCCATTCTTTTTTATATTTTGTTAGCTTGAAAGGCTTTGTCTTTATAATAGGGAAATTAGTTTGGCTGTACTGCTCAGAAAAAATTGTATAAGCAACATGACAAAGAATTGTGATAAAATTGTAAATCGTGATATGATATTTTTGCCATATCACCCACCCCTACTTCCAACCAAACAGTTGATGGTCCCTCTGACTTTTTTTCCCCATAGTATGGAAGTCAATGGGGAACATCAACTGTTCATTTAGCTCAAAATATCTTCTTTTGTGTTCAGCAGAAGAAAGAAACTCATGCAGGTTTAGAACAACTTGAGAGAGAGCAAACGATGACAATTTTCATTTTTGGGTGAACTATTTATTTTACTGTTTGTTATGTATATAGCAGAGTAACTAAACCATACACTGAACCTTTCTTTAATAATTCATGGCTAATTTTTAGCCTGGTTTTACATTTGTAATATGTTTGATATATATTTTTAGACATATATTTGTTTTGACATCGTACCTACCATGCAGAAAATGTGCGAAGTAGATTTTTATCATGAAAAAAACATCACTTTTCTTAAAATATCACTTTTATCATGAGCATCTTTCAAATCACAGGCAGCTGTATGGTAGACGTTAG